CTTACAAATCTTTGCAAAACTAGAACTGCAGCTCTAAAAGCAGTTCCGAGCCCACCTATCTTTACTGCCCCAATTCCTAGGACTGAAGAAAATTTAGGAAAGGAAATGAAGGTTTTTTTGAAAGCACAAACTGCTGCTCTGATTACAAGGTTCCCTTATTAAGGACAAACACAAATCTTAATTGTCTTCTCCACAAATATTAACCAGGAAAAGCTTTAGCCATATGAGCTGATAAACTTTGTAAGTAGTGAATTTTACACTATCGTACGCATCTCTTGGCAGTAATTTAAAAATGAAGGTTATGAGGTCTCTGTCTGTTTGTGTGTTCATGTGTACTGTGTAGTATTTTCTATGGCTGAATGGTATTGCTAATTTGTAATAGAGCTCCACTTAACTGGATTAAACAAACAAGCTCTTATATTAAATTTGTTAAAACTATAATAGACACTAATCCAAACACTTTTCAGGATCATGTGATCTGGGGGGAAATATTTGATAATAAAGCTGGTTTGAGTTTGGTTTGGTTCAATAGGAGTGTCTTTAATGTTGTTAGCATACAATACTTTTATTCTACCTGGTTTTATCAGTCAAGTAAGTTCATGTTATCTTTGTTGCAAAATTTGTCAGTAAGAAAAATAACTCTGTATAACATTTTCATAAGTAATCTAAACATAATTGTTAAGAACAAGTAAATTAAATAAATACAAGTAAGAAAAAGGGTTATTTTAGGTGAACTCTTTAGCAATAATTATATTTTATGTGTACTTAAAAATGATTTCCTAAATATTTTGATAATTTGAAACCTCAAAGTCAAGTTAAGTTAAATGATGATTCAAGTTAAATTCCGATTATCCAGATCATTTCCAAATAAGATGAAGTAATAAAACACCAATTACTGAATATAGATTTATCTACCTTTGGCTCTTATTAAAGAGAAACTAAAAAATACATTTTGATCTGTTAGTAAACAGATGTCTTATGGCACAATGAAAGACTGTACTATGAAAAAAAAACATATTTCTAAAATTATGGAACTTATTTATAAATTTATCAGTCTAAAGAACACAATTGCTTATTTCTTAGTTATCCCTAGAAATTAAGTTTTAAAGGCTAAGAATTCTAATATGTAATTAAAGCTACTAAAAACTCATGAAAAACAACTGTGTATACAAGAAAAGTAGGATGTGTTTTGGCTTAAAAAAAGGCAAGAGATGTGTTTTCATTAAGGAAAATGAAAGTAACTTTATTCCGACTGGAATGTTTCCGACTGGGTAAGAGAACAAGAGATGAACTAAAATGGATGCAGAAAGATGTGGAAGGTTCATGAGAAACAAGTCCTGAGAAAGGAATTTTATAAGTGATTGAGCTGAATATGATTGAACAAATTTGTTAAAAAGTTAAAAAAAAACTTTATATAAAAAACTTAACATTCTCTTATCTGCTAAAAGGAGAAAGTTTTCTTGGATTATTAGTCTGCCCCTAATAAAATATTGTGACGAGCCCTGGCCAGTTTGGCTCATTGGTTAGAGCATCAGACCAAATTGTCGCAGGTTCGATTCCAGTCAAGGGCATGTACCTCGGTTGTGGCTCAGTCCCCAGCTCTGGTCAGGGTTGTGCAGGGGGCAACCAACTGATGTGTCTCTCTCACATAGATGTTTCTCTCTCTCTCTCCCTCTCTCTGTCTCTCTTTCTTCTCCTCCCTCCCTCCTACTCTATCTTAAGATAAATGGAAAAATGTCCTCGGATGAGGATTAAAAAACAAACAAACAAACAAACAAAAGATACTGTGAAGAGTTTACTGCTGAGAAAGCAAAGCTTCTGTGTTTTATCAAAATAATGTGTTTTTAAAAATTTTTTTTCTTTATTGATATTAGAGAGAGAGGAAGGGAGAAGGAGAGAGAGATAGAAACATCGATGAGAGAGAACATTGATGGGCCACCTCCTACATGCCCCCCACTGGGAATCGGGCCCACAACCTGAGCATGTGCTATGACCGGGAATCAAACCGGCGACCTCTTGGTGCATGGGTTGACACTCAACCAATGAAATACACTGGCCAGGCAATAATGTTGTTTTATGTTATCTTAATTGGTTATTTCATTACTTAAGAAAACAAAATCTACTCAATATAAGAGCTACCCTCTGAATTTGAAACGCCCTAGCTGCCTTTCACACGAAGGCCACAGCAAGTCTACAAAGACTGTGGCATGACACCCATTCTGCTTCTGCAAAAATGACCCCTCATTGCCAGACTTTTGCCATCTTAATGCCCTTGTAACATGGCAACAGTTTGCTCCTGAATCAGAGAAATTACAATGGGTAAACTATGCTATAAATTAAATGAACAGTCAGGGCTATGGGAAACCCATACGTCTTCTGAAAAGACTTTAAATTAGGGGCCTTGCCCATAATTGTTATTAGCAAAAATAACTTTTATGACCTACCTACACGGAAGGGCTAACATCTAGTTACTGAATATCTTCTCTTCTTATCTTCCTCCGAATGACCTTCCTCCCATGTGAAAGATGTCTTACCTCATCCTCAGCTCAGAATGCCACATAGACTTCACTTTCCTTTTCTGTCTCTGACTCTCTCATGCATGTGGGGTTCCACATACATACATATGTACATAATTACATTTGGTTATTTTCTCTTGTTGATCTGTCTCATGTCTATTTGACCAGGAGGACAGAGGAAAATTTCTTCCTCCCCAACAATAGTAAAGCTCAGTTATTATAATGAGAAATATGCAAATTAGAAGTATACCAGGAGCCCATTTTTTCACTTGTCAGGTTGGCAATTATCAAAAATTGGTAACATGCCCTGGCCGGTTTGGCTCAGCAGTTAGAGCGTCAGCCTGCGGTCCGGAGAGACCTGAGTTCGGTTCTGCTGAGGGAACGTACCTCGGTTGCAGTTTGTCCCTGGCCCTGGTTGGGTCGTGCGGTGGCAACCACTCGATGTGTCCCTTCACGTCGATGTTTCTCTCTCTCTTTCTCTCTCTCTCCCACTCTGTCTGAACAAAAAGTGGAAAAATGTCCTCGGGTGAAGATTGGAAAAAAAAAAAAAAAAATTGATAACACTGTTAGTGATAGCGAGGAAATGAGCCCTTGCAAATATTGCTGGTAGGAGTGTAAACTGGTACATTTATGGAAAACAATTTGATATTACCTCTAAAAATTAAGAATGCACATTCCCTTGCCCCAGCCATTCCACTTCTAGATATAATAGCATATGTAGGAAAAAGAAACAAAGATGGCCATGATTTTTCAGTGCAGCACTGTTTATAACAGCAAAAGATGAAAAACAACCCAAAGTGCCCTAAGGTAGGGGGCTACTTAAACTATGACTCCATACAATGGGATAGTTTGCAGCAGTAAAGAAAAGAAAGCAATGTGCATAACTTTGTGTATAACATACTACCATATTTTTAAAACTGGAGGCAAAATGGAGAATATGCCTGTAAATTGACTATCTCTGGAAGGATACTGAGAAAACAGGTAACACTACCTCAGGGACGGAGAGACTGGGTGTCTGCGGATGGGAAACAGACTTACACTGTGGAATTCTCGTTTTTTTTATCCTCACCCGAGGACATTTTTCCATTTTTTGTTCAGATAGAGTGGGAGGGAGAGAGAGGAACAGAGAGAGAGAAACATTGACGTGAAAGGGACACATCGAGGGGCTGCCACCTGCACAACCAACCCCGGGCCAGAAACAAACTGCAACCAAGGTACATGCCCTTAGCGGGAACTGAACCCGGGTCTCTCCGGACCGCAGGCCGACGCACTTACTGCTGAGCCAAACTGGCCAGGGCACACTGTGGAATTCTCGACCTGAGAATTATACATTATGTGCAATGGTTACCTGTTTTTCAAAATTGTTTTTAATTAAAAAAAAAAACAACACAAATAATCTGACTTAAAAATGGGCAGAGGACTTGAATAGACATTTTTTTCAAAGAAGACATACAAATGGCAAACAAGTATATGAAAAGATGCTCAACTTCACTGGCTACTAGGGAAATGCAAATCAAAACTACACCTCACACTGTTAGAATGGCTATTATCAATAAGACTAGAAATAACAAGGGTTGGAGAGGTTGTGGAGAAAAGGGAAGCCTTGTGAACTGTTGGTAGGAATATAAATTGGTGCAGCCACTATAGAAAACAGTATGGAGGTTCCTCAAAAAATTAAAACTAGAACTACTTTTTGACCCAGTTATTTCACTTCTGGGTATTTGTGCGAAGAAAACATAAACACTTGAAAAAATATAGGCATTCCCATATTCATTACAGCATTCTTTATAATAGCCAAGGCATGGAAACAACCTATCCGTGAATAAAAGGATAAAGAAAATGTGGTATACATATAATGGAATACTATTATTGAGCCAACAAAAAAGAATGAAACCTTGCCATTTGCAGCAACATAAATGGACCTAGAGGGTATTATGCTAAGTGAAATAAGTCAGACAGAAAAAGATCTATACTGTGTAATCTCATTTATACATGGAATATAAAAAAGAAAAAAAGAAGAACAACCTAACAAAACCCCCAAAAGCAAACCAAATAACTGAGTTCATGAATACAGAGAACAGACTGGTGTTGTCTGAGGCAGGGGTTGGGGAGTGGGCCATACAGGTGAAGGGGGTCAAAAGGCACAAATTTCGATTTATAAAATGAGTAAGTCCTGGAGATGTTATGCACAGTGACTACAGTACATAAGCCTGCATTGCATATCTGAAAGTAGCTAGGAGGGTGGATCTTGAAAGTTCTCATCAGGAGGAAAAACAAAATTGTAACTATGTGAGGTGATGAGTGTTAACTGGACTTGTTGTGGTCACCATTTTACAATACATACAAATATTGAATCATTACATTGTAAACCTAAAACTGTTATATCAGTTATACCTCAATAAAAACAAATGAACAAACAAACAAAAATGTACACACACAAAGAAGAACTTTTTAGAAAACACAGTGCTTATGCCCATGACTTACTGGTCATATCTTTCCTTGTGGCTCTTGGCTCAAAGTCCATGGCGTAGAGGTCAGAAACGGTGACGGTGCAGCCCTGCTTGCTCAGTTCATCCACAGCCACCTTCTTCAAGGAGCCATTGAAAGACCTGGGTTCTTGGTGAGCATAGACAATGAGCACTTTCTTACCTAAATCCAGAGAAGAATTGATTTCTCTTAAAGAGCAGTTCCTCTTTGTCAAAATTCCATAAGGACTAAGACAGAAATGAAATGTGTAAGAGCATTACAGCAGTTGAAGCTAAGAACCACCAACCTTTTTAGTGGGTGAGGTTTAATGCAGTTATAGCATACCTCATGGTTACTTGAGTTTACTAATATACAAATATACAATGGGTCAAATTATGATTTCTCAAAACTCAAACAACCAAGTTCTTTGAAAGCCCAGTCTAGTTTGGCTATCCTCTATGAGAAGTTGTAGCCCTGTTCCCATACATTGAAATGAAAAAGTTCTGTAACTAATCTTTTGTGTTAACCCTATGTGGCCAGGTGTCAGTTACCAAAATATAGTTCTGCTTCCTTTCCTTCAGCCCCATCGAAATGTCACACTTAAACAAGATATGAAAAATTGGACTCCTAGTACTACCACAAGGCAGGCAGGGCTGTAGGACCCCTGCTTTTGGTGGTGAAGATGACAAGAAGTCTAAGAAGAGTCAGGTCTTATGGGTCCTGGTTGTATCACTATTACCAATAGCCTCTGAAGCAGTATTTTCGTTGTTCAGAAGATTTCGTGAGATTATGCACTGATTTTTTTTTTTTTTTTTTTTTTTTTTTAGGGAGGCAGCTCTGGTGATTTGCTTAACTTTTTCCAGATAAGGTCTAAGGCCAAAATATTTAAACTTTTGATTTAAATTTTTCGGTTTAGGTCCTTAAGGAGAAAATACAAAGGTCAGTCTGAAGCAAACAACTTCAGGGAATTCAACTGAATGTAAAAGTTGAATTCCATGAGTTAATGATCAACATTTTTTATTTTCACTTCTCACATTCATTTGTTATGAATGAACTCTAGTTGGGGGCTTAATAGGAAAATGGATACAAATGAAGTATCTACATCAATGGTTCTCAGCTACCGGCAGTGTTGCCTCCCAGGAAACACCTCACAATATCTGGAGGCATTTTCAGTTTTCATGACTGGGGGGCGGGCACTACTGGCATCTGGTAGATAGAGCTCCAAGGATGCTGCTAAACATGGTACAATGCATAAATCAAAGGGTTATCTGGCCCAAAGTATCAGTAGTGCTGAGATGGAAAATTTAACGTACAGTTTCATGTGTAAGGTGGACTTTTATGTTCTGAAATGAAGAAATCTTCATGTTATTTTGTTGAGAGAAAAAAAAAGATGTTGCATAATGGCATGTTTGTCATGAGCAGGGAGACATGTAAAGATGGGGAGTCATACTGAATTTTGAACCATGGTTCCTCCTGGGGCTCCTTCACTCGACTATTTATTGAGCAGCTACTATCCCCTAATATCATTCCAGAGAATAGATAAGCATGGCCCTTACTTCTGAGGAACTTATATTTTGGTAAGATTTAAACAGACAATAAAACAAGTAAGAAAATACAAAATAACATAATTCCAGGTAGCGATCCACATTATAAATAAAACAAGTTTTATATACTTCAGTGTTATTTAGATTTTTTATAACAACGTATTCAATTTTTAATTAAACTTTTAATTTAACTCCCTCATAGCTAATAGTCACCTGCCATGTTCTAGGAAGATGAATTTCTTTCCTGACAGGTCACAAGAAAGGTTTGCTCTTACTCCTGTGGATTCGGTGTGGCGAGCCCCAGGCTTTCCAATGTGGTCACTCTCTTCAGGCCTCAACAATCTAGAAAAGAACAGTTGGGGGGGGACAAGGTGGTGAAGTTGATGTACCGGCTCTAGGCCTCACCACCACTTTGTGAAGGACATGAAATGTCTCGAAAAAAGGCTTTTCAAGAGAGGCAAGGAACCACCCTTTCTGCCTCCGCTGCTGTCATGGCCCCTTGTGAAGAAGCTTGTGGTAATGGGAGGCAAATAAAAGAAACCGGTTCGAAGTTCACCCTTGACTCCCACCCTACAGAAAACGGAACATGAATGCTACCAATTTTGAAGAGTTTCTTCAGGGGAGAAACAAAGTGAATGGAAAAACTGGGAATCTTGGTGGAGAGGTCATAACCATTGAAAGAAACAAGAGCAAGATCACTGTACGGTCTGAGGTGCCTTCTTGCAAAAGGAATTTGAAACATCTCACCAGAACATGTTTGAAGAATCATCTCTGTGACTGGCTGAACAGAGTTGCTAACAGCAAAGTGAGTTACGAATTGTGTTATTTTCTCATTAACCAGGATGAAGAGGAGAATGAGGATTAAAACTCATTTATCTGCCACGTTTTGTATGAGTCCTTGAATAAAACTTGGGAACCAGAAAAAAAAAAAACAAAAAAAAAACAGAGAGAGGGAGGCAAGGAGCCCTCTAGAGATTTAGGCTTCAGAGGACAAGTCATACAGGATGTCAAAACCAATCCTTTTTTTTTGCTGCGAGAACTCAGAACCCTCTGTGAAAGCAGCCATAGAGAAAAGTTCCTGGGAAATGAGCCATCCGATAGGGAACAGCAGTGTACTTCTCTCTGTCCTTCCTTCTTCTCCCCAGTTTTCCCTCCACATAATCAGTGTAGTGGAACAGACAAAGGGCAGGGGTATTGGTAAGAAACCTATAGCTACCACGTCTACCATGGTCTACAAAGTACAAGAATGGCTGAGAAGAGCGAGAGATAGTACACACATGTGGAGGGTGGCACATATTAAGGCTCTGGAAAAATGTTAGCTCTCCCTCGACGGCCTCACAGGCCTGAGGGAGGCCTAAATCCTCACTAGCTGGCTTCTGGGGGAGACAGGTGCCTCCAACAAACCTGCTCCCTCTCCAGAAAACAGCTCAGAGCCTGTGACTGCCAGTGTGGGAATGCTGCCCAAATGACGATGTTAACATATGACTGTATCTTTACAGGACAGCAACAAAACTCAGAGACAGAAATCAGGCTTATCCACAGCCACACCTGGAAAATGGAGCCGAGCCTGAATTAGCACCTTCCAGGGTGCTCCACACTGTCCAGGAGGTAAAGGGCTAGGGTATGCAGAATATTGCCAAGAAGTGAAAGTAGGGTGCAGGGGAATGGGCTCTCTGACCTGGGGACAGAAAGAAAGAGACCTAAATCATTGTGGCTGAAGCTGAGTTGGAGGAAAGCAGGGCACTTGAAGTGGAGCAGGAGCCACAGCTTTGATCAGAGGGGATTTTAAATTCCCTTAAATTCACTACTGAGTAAACAGTTAGGAACCTGCTTCTTTGGCTACCCAACATCCCCTCTTGTTCTTTAACAGTCACTGAATTTATTCAGGTGTCAATGTGCCCAACTAGAGACTACATTTCCCAGCCTCTCTTGCACTTAGGGGTGGCTAATGAGGTGGAAATATCCTTAAAGGGGCTGACTCTGTTGGGGGGGGAGGGTACCATTTTGGCCTCTTACGAGTGGCTTTCTTCACAGCTGGACCGTGGAATGATAGCAGGGCTCAGTGAGTCACCTTGTTATTCTGTGGGTGGAGGCTATGGATTAAGGATGATAGAGCAGAAATATGAACAGAACCTGTATTCCGGATGATTTCTTGGAGTGTGGGATGGTTCTAGATTGCCAGCTTCCAGAATTCTTTACATGAGAGATCAAATTCTAAAATGTGTTTAAGCCACTGGAGTCGATCTCTATTACTTGCAGTAAGTGGGGCACAATTCTTAACCGATTCACACATTCATTCAGCTGGGTCCCGGGCTTGGGGCACTCACTCGCCCTCTGGCCAGGTACTGCACTAGGTGCTGAGGCTACGGGAGGTAGAACTTTATTCTGGGGGTGGGGGGAGGCAGATAAAACAAATAGGCAAACAAAACAACCACAGAATTCTAATAGTGGTAAGTACTAATAATAATGCTAATAGTGATAGTGATAAGAAAACAAAGTACTTTCGGAGATAAAATGGCAGGAGTGTGTTTGATATTTTAGGATAGAATGGTCCAAGAAGGTATCTCTGGATGAATGATGATATGGACCCAGCAATGCAAAAATGTAGGGGAACAGCAAGAATAAGGCATGAGCTAGGAACTGACCTGGAGTATTCAAGAAAACCTGTTTGACTGGCCTATGGCTGAAAAAAGAGTTGTGGTGGACAATGCAGTCAGAGGTAGGTGGGCCTCAGAGGTAGGTGGGCCTGCAGGATAGGGACAAGGATATTATTCTAAGCATAACAAGACAGCCACTGGAGCATCTTAAGCAGGAATGATATGTTTTGATTACTTTTTAAAAGGTTATCAGTGTCACTTCAGACTCATATAACACTTTATCCTAAGATTCCTAGGGTGAGGATCCAAAGACATTTAGGTTTTGGAGGAAATTATTTAATGTTAATGCCTCTATTAGGACACGTATTCTTTTGCATTCCAGGCCTCACCATTCCCTGTTGTTTGGTTGGCCCAGTTACATATTCACATTACATGCCTGGACACTTGAGGCATTTGAATTTGTGACTCCACATCTTGTACAATTCTCGTACTTGTACAGAAAAAGAAACTGAGGCTCAAGAAGTAAGCTACTTGTCCAAAATAAAATACTCCAGCCAGGCTTTTGACTTGCTGTCTGTCCAGGGCTCTTCAATCTCCATTCACTCACCTTCCTTAGTGCCCCACTGCACAACAATAATCTTTACCCCTTTGTCAGGGGAAAAGTAAGTGCATACACTTACCCAGGTCAACAGGAAAAAACAAACAAAAAAAACCCCCAATCGGTTATGAAACTATATACACCACATCAAATGGGCTGATGTTGATGTGCATTATATCTTCTTAATCAGTATCCAGAAGCTGTTTTATGTTTTCACTTTGCCTCTTTTACACACAGACTTGCTTTGTGCCTGTTCCTCTCTAGGTAGATAACATTTCACTACGTAGCTAGACCACTGTCTGCATGCCCATTTGTGACCACTTCTCTATTCCTGGACACTTTGGTTATTTCCATTTTTGTTCCAGAACTATAAATAGCACTGCTAGAAGCATGTATTATTTAATACATGTCCCTTTTCATGTATTTTTTGTTTGATATTTTCAGGGAAACTAAAGGTGATTTTTTTTCCTCATCCGAGGTTATTTTTCCATTTGTCATCAGATAGAGTGGGAGGGAGGGAGGGAGAGAGAGAAACATCAGTGTGACAGAGCCACATGACCGGTTGCCTCCTCCGCAACGGAGGTACTGCCCTTGACGGGAATCGAGGCTCTCACCGCTGAGCCTAACCGGCCAGGGCGAAGAAGCCGAGTTTTTCAAGTTCCGTGAGACTGCCACAGTATACTGGTCAAAGGCCGGGCTGTGGGGAGCCGGCGTAATCTGGCCCCCTTTACGAACTGATCTTACTTAGCCTGCCCTGTTTCTTCATTTGTAATAGGGTTGAGAGCAGACTAAATGAGCCTGTTAAACACTAGGAACCAGGCCTAGCGTGCGGTAGGTCTGGGAAGAGACAAGTAAAATCCTAATTTGAAATGGTGAATGAGTCACGCTAGGACCCACGGGACCACGTGTTCCCACTCTGGCTGGAAAGTGAAAACGAGCAGCGACCTCTCCAGCCCTGCAGTCCCCGCCGAGAGCGCGCAGAGTGTGGGGCCTGCGCCTCCCAAGCCCCCGGGCGCCCGGCAAGGGGAGGCACTCACCCTCCGGCCAGCCGACGCCCCAGGAAAGAAGCGGCAGGACCCGAGCCCGACCGAAGGGAAGCTCGGGTCGTCTGCGCCGGGTTCCGGCCGCTGGCGGCCACGCACACGCACACGCACACGCACACGCACACGCACACTCTCACGCACGCGCCCGGAGGCGGACAGACTGCCCAGCTCTGGCCCGAACACAGGGCTGGGAGGAACTTGGGTTGTCCACCGGGCTGGTCCCGGCCGCCCCGCCCCCGGCTTCTCCCCGGGCTCCTTTCTCGCTCTCCGCCCCACCCGCTACCCCGCGCCGAGGCGACGCCCCGCCCCGCCCCCAGACAACGCCCTCTGGTCCCGCCCCCGCCCCGCCCCCTGACCCACTCCATGCCTCCCCTTGGGCTGAAGCAGAACCGGGGTTGGCCGAATCGCTGTGGAGAACGGTGGGCCCACCAAGCTTGGAAGAGGGGAGCCCTCCTGCCCAGACAGGTATTCAGGTTAACAAATGAAGGTCCATATCTTGGCTATTGTAAATAATGTTGCATTGAACATAGGGGTGCATATCTCTTTTTGAAATAGTATTTTCGGATAAATTACCAAAAGTGGAATTGCTGGGTCATATGATAATTCTAGTTTAAACTTTTTGAGGACACTCCACACTATTTTCCATAGTCGTTCCACCAATTTACAATCCCACCCGCAGTGCAGGAGGGTTCCCTTTCTCCACGTTTTTGACAACATATATTGTTTGTTTACTTTTTGATAATAGTGTGACAGGTGTGAGGTGATCTTTCACTGTGGTTTTGATTTGCATTTCCCTGATGATTAATGATGTTCAGCATCATTTCATGTGTCTATTTCATCTGTATGTCTTTGGAGAAATGTCTGCTCAGGTCCTCCACCCATTTTTTAATAGGATTGCTTTTTTTTCTTTTAATGTTGAGCTGTATTAAGAAGTACAAATTGCCCTGGCTGGTTTGGCTCAGCGGTTAGAGCGTTGGCCTGTGGTCCAGAGAGACCCAGGTCCCTTTCCCGCTAAGGGCACATACGTCGGTTAGAGTTTGTCCCCGGCCCTGGTCGGTCGTGCGGGTGGCAGCCACTCAATGTGTCCCTTTCACATGGATGTTTCTCTCTCTCTCTCTGTTCCTCTCTCTCCCTCCTACTCTACCTAAACAAAAAATGGAAAAATGTCCTCGGGTGAGGATAAAAAAAAAAAAAAAGTACAAATTGCCAGTTATAAATAGTCACAGGGATGTAAAGTACAGCATACGGAATATAGTAAATAATATTGTAATAACGATGTATGATACCAGGTAAGTACTAGACTTATCGTGGTGATCACTTTGTAAGGTATATAAATGTCTAAGCACTATGTTGTACATCCAAACTAATATATTATTGTATGTCAACTATAATTTTAAAGTAAATTTTATTATTTTTTTAATTAAAAATTTTTTTTTATCCTCACCTGAGGACATTTTTGCATTTATCTTCAGATAGAGCAGGAGGGAGATAGGGAGGAAGAGAGAGAAACATCAATGTGAGAGAGACACATCGAGTGGCTGCCACCCACACAACCCCAACCAGGGCCGGGGACAAACTGCAACCAAGGTACGTGCCCTTAGTGGGAACTGAACCCGGGACTCTCTGGTCCGTGGGCTGACACTCTACCGCTGAGCCAAACTGGCCAGGGCTTAAAGTAAATTTTAAAGAAGACAGACCATGGCATAACACTTAGCAATAAAAAGGAATGAACTATTGATACAGCTAATGTTCTGTGCAAATCTCCAGAGAATTATGGAGGGAAAAACAAACAATCCCAAAAGGTTTCATACACTGTGTAACTGTACATTTGCATGTACATATACATGGTCCCATACATTTATACAACGTTCTTAAAATGACAACTTATAGAAATGGAAAACAGATTAGTGATTGCCAGGGGTGAGGGATGGGGTCAATGTAACTATAAGAGAGCAACAATAGGGAACCTTGTGGTGAGGGAAATGTTCTGTACCTGACTATCAATGTGAATATCCTGGCTGTGATATTATACTGTAGTTTGGCCAGATGTTTTTTTGGGAGAAATTGGATAAAATGCACATGTGATATCTATGTGTTACTTCCTTCAACTGCATATGAATCTAAAGTTCTCTCAAAAGAAAAATTTTAATTAAAAAAAAAAAAAAAAAAAGATGGTTCAAAGCCCAGGACATTTCTTACAGTGGTTCTAACCTGTGGGTCGTGACCCCTTCGGGGGTCAAACAACCCTTTCACAGGGGTCGCCTAAGATATAACAGTAGCAACATTACAGTTATGAGGTAGCAACGAAAATAATTTTATGGTTGGAGGTCACCACAACATGAGGAACTGTATTAAAGGGTCGCGGCATTAGGAGGGTTGAGAACCACTGCCTTAGAAGGTGGAAAGGTATGGAACCAGAGCCTGTAGATGTGTTTGTGTGTGTGTATGGTGGGATTGGGGGGAGACGGGTTTGCTGATGAGCAGTTTGGGCTCATTGTCTCTTTTTCTCTTTTCCAGCACTTTCTGATTTGTGCCATCTCATTTGGCAGTCCATCTACCATTGTGACATCCCCAAGGATTGTCCTCAAACTCTATGCCTTGATTTCTGGTGTCCTAGGATAGTCCTATTCAAGCAATAAAGCAAAAGTAAGGTTTCCCGTGTTCCTAATATTCCTCATGAAAGTTAGTGCTGCTATTGTTTGTAGACCAGTATTGGGGTTGGTTTGTCTGCTGTTGATGTTTTCCTTGCTTTCAGGGATGAGAATATGGCCCCTTTCTGAGATGCTCTCATGCCAGCAGGGCACAGGGCCACCTTGTTTTGTGACCTAGGAAATTCTGGAGGCATTCTGTATTTTAGAAAGACCTTTATCAGAGGAAAAGTGCTTGAGGCATTTCCAAATGTATCAGGATATCCACAAAGATAAAATTTGTTTTTGTTTTCCTCCTTTCTGATGAGATTCACTTAGGGCTCCTCAAATAATTGTGTCATGGAAGTAAATGAGTCATCCTATGAAAGGTAGGTGCAGGTCAGGTTCTCTGGAATAATTGAAGGTAGACTTGGTGATAAGGAGGGCAAGTAACCCTGTTGTCCAGTGGGAGGGGTGTATTCTGGTCTTTTGTGCTATGAGGACTTTTAAGAAAACAACAGCCAGACCTCTGGGTAGTGTGGACTCCATGAAAGGACCAGGGAAGTGTGGAATAGCAAGTGTTAAGAACTGTCTTGGAGACAATTAAGTCTCTTTACAAGAAAATCACTTTTCTGAATCAAATCTTGGTCCTGTATTATATAGGATTAAAGAATGATTACAAGCCTTAACACCAAAGATAGAAAATTATAATAATTATGACATTTTATCAAATTTTTGAAACACTTCACCTCTATCATATCTCACATCAATATCAATGGAAGAAATCCCCTGTGTTTGTATTCTAGCAAATTAAAAGTCTTTAAATGTTTTGTGTCATTTCGAACTCAAAAGAGAAGTAGGTAACAAGTGAATTGAGAACATGGAAACCAAACCAGAGTAAAGGAAGACCAGTACAACACTATCTTGAAGGCTAACAATTAGAAAATGTTAAACATAATTTTTGTATTTTTAATTATATAAAAAAAGAGAATAATTCTAAAAGCTTGAGATCACTAAAATTCATATTCATTCATTCATTCATTCATTCAAAGTCTTTACTGAGCACCTACTCTCTGTCAGTCCTTATTTGTGGCAAGGAGGACTCAGTTCTCAGCAAAAACATGGTGTCGTGGAGCATACAAACTACTGGGGGAAATGAGAGCTAGTGTAAAGAATGTTTGCAAAATAAATTGTAATCATCTTGAAGATATGTGTGTGTGTGTGTGTGTCTCAGATTTCTGAAATAAAGAGGCTTTAAGTGGAGAAATTTTTGCTCATGTTACATGTTCTCCCTCAGTACAAATGTATATAGCCTGTATTTTTCACAGACCTTAGGAATAGTAGATAATTGTGCTGTTAACCTCATTTATTTCCAGGGAAAAATAAAATGATTTAAGAGTAGAAGGGGGTCTCAGTTCCTGTTGAGGATTTTTTTTCTCTTTTTTTGCAGATCTTCCTTTATAGATATTTCAATATAGGTTCTATTTTCATAAAAATATTAATATAAATGTAGGTGTTATATTAAAATTTTATGTGTTGATGTTTCCATATATACATATTTTTTCTTTGTTGTTTTTTTTCTCCTTCATATATACATATTTTAATATACACAAGGCTGTCTGGGGAGAAAGGAGGTGAATATTTCATTCTTCACTTTTTATTTTTCTGGATTGCTTGATTTTGTTACAGGACACATTGTTTTTACAACATTATTAAAGTCTATGTTGAACAATCTTCTGCACTGGGCTTGAAGTAGAAGGGGAGAGGCTAACATTTGCAGAATTAAAATAGGATAAAAACATTCTGTTGCAGTTTGGCAACTTGAGCTCATACTAAGGTTTCCACTTCCAAATCCCTGGAACTAGAAAAAAAATTAAAAATATAAATCTTTAGTCCCACCAGAAAACAAGAAGAGAATCTTTGGTGAATCAGAAAAACTCTTAGTAAGGACTAAAAACAGAAAGCTGAAATTAGTAAAAAAGTATATATCCTGATCAAAACATTCACAGGAGAAGGCTGCTATAAAAGGTGGGAATAGCTCCAAGGAAGCCCTCAGCCTATATGTGAATAAAGGGATACAGATATAGCACCCTGGCTCACAAGCATCCCATCCCAAGGTGGTTAATAATAGAAGCAGATAGGAAGATCAGCTCCTAAATTTGAGCGCTCTGTGCCCACCGAAGTGAATAGCAAAACGTTACAGTATTTATCTGGACTTTGAGAACAGTACACTAAAGTAAATACCAGCAAAACTTCCAAGACACAGCTAATATATTTTTTTTTTTTTTAGTTCTCATCCAAGGACTTGCTTCCAAGAGAGGAAGGAGGAGAGGAAGAGAGACATCCATGTGGAGAGAAACATCTAATGGTTGCCTTCTGTATGTGCCACCCCATGTGGCGTGGGGGGTGTCAAACCAGCAACCTTTCAGTGCACAGGAGGACACCGAACCACTCTGGCCAGGCGACACGTCTACTGTTTTGTTTT